TGTGTTACTTGACCGAAACTAAAACTTGCAAAGACATGCAAACTAAGCAATTATTTATAAATATATCCATACATACGGACAGCAAAAAAGAATTATATAAGTCACATCAAAATATTAGCTCGAGCAGATCAGTGAAAGGATATCGGCCGAGTCCAAACCAAATTTGTACCAATTTTATAATAGCTAAACGTAGCTCCATTTTAAAATTAAATTAAAAAAAAAACATTAAGAAAACAAGGCTAAATCCAGAGCTAAACACAGTCAACTTACATACGAAATAAATCCTGTCTACCACGACATGACCCCTAGTATATTTACATATAGCTTACTATAATCTATTTTGATTAATCTTTAAGGTCATATATACTCAAATTATGAATGGACAAGAATGAGCAAAACCTGCACTTAATTGAAGAGCTCAAAATCCCTAGAACATAAAGAATCTAAGGTGTTTTTTTTAAGTTGTTGCCCACGTCAAATATTCTCAGTTTTATTCTTAAAGGAAACGAAATCTATTATTTTAATCTATCAAAACCGAAGGTGAAAGCACTTAAAAACTGGTATAACGTCAAATAAGACAATTAATAATAAATTTTTGTGGGCTGGTTGAAGTGTTTTGACAGTCCTTCGTGAAAAGACTACGTTGTGCATCAAAGCATGATGGAAGTTGTAACCCTCGTAACAATTTCATATCCGCTAAAGAAGTTATGTAATTTATGTATATGAGGCACGAAATAAACATAAATGGATATTTTGCCGGCATGGAACAGAAACCTGTAGAGAATTGAGTGCCGCAATGCACTCTGGGTAGAAGTATAAAAGGAAGATTGTAAGGAATGTTAGCCATCTACGGTCAGTCAACGATCTATCGACTTTACGTTGGCGAATTTTCGAGTTATACTCTACTAAACTTATACGTATTTGCACATTATTTGTATTATTATTTTGCTATGCTTAGGATTAGGAACCTCTTACCTCCGAGGTTGCAGTATTGCCTGGTGGGGGTACACGTTTCCTCCAATTTTTCCCCAAAGGGGTTTTTTGGCAGCTTTTGCGTGTCCCGCATACTACTTAGTCTAATATAATCTTATGTGTAAGATAGGAGTTGAGAATAAACTGCCCGTTGCGTTCGACTGACCAACGTGCCCAAGTATGAGTGTGTTGTACGTTTATGTGTATTGGACGGAAAATCAYGTGATTGTGCCTTTACATCGAAGCGTCACCTGTGAATAATTGTGTTTTGTATTTTACGCTTACTTCTCGTCTCGCTTTGATGCAAAGGCTCGGTTGCATTTCAAGATGACGGAGGGAGTCGTGAAGGAGCCTTTGTTATAATATACTTGTATATACAACAAAAATAAAGCAGTTCTATTTACCTTGAGTTTAGCAGCCTGGTGAAAGTAAGACGAACAAATACACTTTCTTATGACATCCCAGTCATTACCACACGACCTGACGGGGATTTGATGCTGTACCATGATCTCTTTCAATTGTCCTCGGACCTCTCGTACTTTACGCATTGCCTTGACATGGATGAAATGCTCGTTGCACCACTGAGCCGAGTAGCTGTGGAATATTCATATGATAAAGAAAGTTACTATAAAAAGATAATACAGTATTCAATATCAATTCTGAAATGCATTCCTCGTCGTCGAACAACGCTTTCCCTGTTCCAGAGTGAGTATGGCAGCTCTGTACCGCTTTCGATGGAATTTCACTGGAAGAAATCCCGCTCCTTCAAGGTTGTTATTTTAATGGAAATTCAAACTATAATAATTACAAAGGTTGTAAATATCCCGTAAGTGTCCAAAATCATGAAAATATCTTGTAAATTTGGATTTAAAATCCAGGACAAGCTGACAGTTTTAGGTAGAATAGGATGAATGAGAGACCGAATATATTCATTCTAGTTGATATTCAACATCGAATAGAATAATAGATTACATAGAGCAATATTTCGGTTTTATTGCAAAACCATCATCAGCCTAATAGTTACAAAAGTGCAAAGACAAGACAGTATATACTAGATAGATGAATTAATTAAACAAAGTTAATTCTCTAGAGGCGCGGAGGCCAGTGTTTAAGGATGGTTTGTTTTGTTTGATGAAGAAAGCTTCCTTATACAATAAAAGATTCCAATTGTTATCACTACTTATAACAGAGGTGTTGTTCTGCACGATGTTTTTATAAAATTGGCGCTCATCAAACTTGTCTACATCATGGATGGAAAATAAATCCAATATATGTTGAAAGTTGTTGCAGTTTTCTAAATGACAGAAGATGGCACTGTCTTTCTACACATTATCAAGTAAGTAAATTTCTAAGTAACCTGCTCTCTCCGCTGACACAAAATGCCTACACACTGAAAGATTCATTTGACGCAGTCAACCGAATAAAAGCCATACCATCACATCTATTCGATGAAGGTTACTCTTTCGTTTCTTTTGATGTTGAATCCTTATTCACGAACGTTCCACTCAATCACACTCTAAAAATCATAGAAGATCGTATCTACAAGGATAAACTCTTATCCACCACCTTATCGAGAACCACTCTGCGCAAATTAATACGGGATACTTGCACCAAAACTGTGTTTTCTTCGAACAATGTGTTATACGAACAAATTGACGGAGTCAGCATGGGTGGYAGTCTAGCTCCTGTATTGGCTAACATAATYCTAACCGAATTTGAGAAACAAATTGTTAACGATCTGTTGAACACGGGCTTGATTAAATTCTATTGTCGATATGTGGATGATWMACTCTTGGTCATAAAGAAAGATCATATTGACCATATTCTGAATAAATTCCACAAGTTTCATAAGAACATTCGCTTCACGTACGACTCGTTTCCTAACTGTGTTCCACATTTTCTTGATATTGAAATATCTCCTGATGGATTAAACATCTTTAGAAAACCAACATTCACAGCTCAATATACCAACTTCAAAAGTTTTGTACCCTGGAACCACAGAATYGCGTGGATTAGATCATTGGTTCATCGAGTTTTAGCTATCTGTGCTCCTAACAAGATCCCAACCGAGATCAATAAAATTAAAAGTTTTTGCTCATGGAACGGATTCCCAAAAAACCTCTCTCAACGTCTCATCGACAAATTTAAGAAATCTACTAATGAGAGAATGAACAGCAGTAACAACAACAATAGCAATACAAGTCACGATGACTCTAAAACACCTACCATCTGGTTTAATCTTCCGTACATCAGAGATAAAGGCGAACACATTACCAAAAGCTGCATACGAAAGTTACGCTCCTGCACTACAGAGAAAATTAAGTTCAGAGTTCGCTACAAYACAACCAAACTCTGCTACTTCACGAACACTAAAGACCCTACACCCATATTAAATAAATCTAATGTTGTGTACGAGTTCTCTTGTCCYGGTTGCCKTTCGAAATACATAGGAAAAACTGATCGGACATTATATGAAAGAACTTTAGAACACAGTCACAAGAAAGACAGTGCCATCTTCTGTCATTTAGAAAACTGCAACAACTTTCAACATATATTGGATTTATTTTCCATTCATGATGTAGACAAGTTTGATGAGCGCCAATTTTATAAAAACATCGTGCAGAACAATACCTCTGTTATAAGTAGTGATAACAATTGGAATCTTTTATTGTATAAGGAAGCTTTCTTCATCAAACAAAACAAACCATCCTTAAACACTGGCCTCCGCGCCTCTAGAGAATTAACTTTGTTTAATTAATTCATCTATCTAGTATATACTGTCTTGTCTTTGCACTTTTGTAACTATTAGGCTGATGATGGTTTTGCAATAAAACCGAAATATTGCTCTATGTAATCTATTATTCTATTCGATGTTGAATATCAACTAGAATGAATATATTCGGTCTCTCATTCATCCTATTTGGATTTAAATTTACATAATATTTCCATTAAATTTACATCGTTTGTAAAAAAGTGTGTAAATGCGCTGTAAATATTACTTACATCATTTACATGATTTTTACATCAAATTTACTGTGCTTTTTTTTGTTTTTGTTTTTCTCCAGTGTTTAAACACCACGTACTTGGGAATCTAATATCAACAACGCCTTTCAGTCTCGCTCGTTCTTTACTGCGCGATAAGATCACAGGTCACAGTGCAGTTTCATCCCATCGTTATACAAAGCCTTGCAATTTGCTTACCGCGCATGCTCGATAAGATTCCCTAGCTTATCCCACATGGCTTAGTGCCTGTTCACTTACTTGTTAGTTTTCCACTGTTGGTAGACGTTAAGGTACGTCAAGTGGTCACTCTCAGGTACGGCAAACTTCTCACGGGCCGCGTCGCTRTCCTCCTCGCGTCCTTTTGGACGGTAGAAAATCGCTGGTACCGACAGCATTGATACTATGGTCTAMAGTAAGAGGACACACAAGGCAATGAGCGATTTTATAGCAGGCATTTTTAAAATATGAGAGCAGAAGTAAAATAGCATGAAAATATTGTACAGAAAAGGCTGAGTAAGTACGTTTTGCAAACTTTATACAGGCTGGTAAACTACACGAGAAAAGTTTACAGAGTCTATATTCAATTTACGTTTAAATGTCCTTTCGCAAGCTTTGTAAATTGATTGTACAAGATATTTACAATTGACTTCCTTCGCTCAACGCTCATTTTCACTAATAGACCGCGATTTCCACGATACGCGTGCGAGCTTTGGCATTCTGCAACATTCTCAGAAATCGCCTATTCAAACATTATGATATTGCGAAGTAGATAACAAGAAGAAAAGGATAATATTAAAGGGCTACGTGCACCCAAGAACCTTAGCGATCGTCTGTTTTTCTTTCAAATACTCTTTTGTTGAAAACTACTCTTCTTGGTTCAAATCAAAGATGGTGAGTTTTCGCATATACGGAATAAACTTCTGAACCTTTTACGTCACTACTTTATTTCCAATGCATTGTGGGATAAGTTTCTAGAGAGAAAATAACGAAATCTAGCATATTCTGTCCCAAACATATCCTACAATGCATTGCGTATACATWACATGACGTAAGAGCTTCAGAGATCTATTCGCGCAAAGGTTCTCGGATCCACGTGACTTACCAGTGTTTCGTCGCTACATTCCATATCGACAGACACGATCAACATCTTAGACATCGCTGGGTCCAGTGGAAATTCAACCATCTGTCGACCAAGGGTTGTCAGGGAACCAGTATTATCAAGAGCGCCCAGTATCCAAAGYTGGTACATTGAATTAAGAATATTTTCCTAGGAAATATTGCAATGGWTGTTAGGACAAAGGCAACTCAAAATGATTGTCCAGCAGCCCTTTTTGTCGTTAAAACGAGTTGCGCGGGGACCTGTGGTTTTGCATCAAAGCTGGGCAGAATCGGGCAACATCTCTTTACCTTTTGGTAAAGATAAAGAGGCTAAAACTTTGAGAAGTCTATAATCTACATTTCCCCCTAGTATGACACTGGAAAAAAATCGCGCGCTTTAAAGGTTGTAAATTTGATGTAAATATGATTCTGTAAATTTAATGTCAATGATTTCCATTACATTTACAGAATTTTGGTCACTTACATCATATTTACATCAAATTTACAACCTTTAAAGCGCGCGAATTTTTGCAGTGTGAGCGTCCTTTATAGTGACATTTTGTGGAMTGAATCCCCTCTTGGGTGACCGGAATCCTTTCGTGAGAAAATCCAGCATCCACCCTGTRTTGCAGTCCACTAAAATTGTCACTAAGGACGCTCAAACAAGAGGAAAAAATAGATTATGAAACAATGAATATTGCCATGGAACAATGAAATCTTAACAWGAAAATAACCAACCTTGTTCCCAGGACTTCTCTACCTATCAGGGAAAAGTTCTGGGAACGAGGGCAAAAAAGCTGYGTCTTTCGAAATGGGTTACCTGTGGYGGTGGATCCATGAAGTGGAACTCCAGTAGGTTTATGACCCCSAGGGATTTGAGAAGRAGTACAACATTAGCCAGGTTTGTTCGCTGGATTTCAGGTACTGTCATCAGAAGTAGTTCGTTATTGTAGGAATTYTCKGTGTAAAGYCTGAAGCAYTGTCTGTAAAAACAATATCAACAGGATCAAATGATAGGCTGAAAGTAAAGGGGTGATTCACTGGAATTAATATTTGTTATTTTTGAATAACGAGTCATTAGTTGGTTGTTTAACTGAATAAT